GGTTGCTGTTTCATAAAAGTTACCCATTGATAGTTGGTACTATAAGTTAATTCTTTCTTTCAGCATATCTATACGATATCGGTTATGATGATAGATGAATGCCATTTTATATTGCAACATATAACAGGTTGTATGTACACCAAATAAAGAAATAATTTGTGCTGTACCCGTGAATCCTAAATATAAAAAGAATGATTTACACCATAACTTTAACCACACACGTACAGTCTAAAGTAAAGATGATGGTTTATTTATTCTTAGTGAGTCATGTGTGTTTATGATTAAAATTTATTACATTCAAGCATTTAAACTTTTGACATTTTCAAAAATGATTAATACAAAACCAGCGTGTATGGGAGCGTCCTTTAAATTTCTTCATGAATAGTCTGCTATAACAGACTCTAAAAAAAAAATATATAAAACCTGTTTTAGAATAACAGCCCTGGGGTGCACTGTCTAAGGTAGTTGTCATCAAATGTATTACGTGCATACATACTCTAAATCTTCCAGCCCGCCATCCCCCCCCCCCCCCCCTCCTACAAAAAAAATCACATGGAAACATGGACATGATAGAACGTCCCTGATTGCAGCATGGTTCTAAAAAAGAAGACTAATAGTAGATAGTCTGTGATATATGCCTCACTATTAATCGTATTGGTACATAGATTCAGTTTTCTACGACAGAACTTTAGGCATGTAGCCGTTGCAACTCCAGAAGAAGATATGAAAAGATAAAACAACAACAGCGCCGTAATATTTATATACCAAAGCATCAATGACAGTAAAAAGGAAAAAGGGTTTGGGTCCCCCCCCCCCCCCTTCCCCCTTTTGCTCTGCTCATAGGGGTTGTCAATATATAAGGAATGTGTAACAAATAGCTGTTTAATTTCCAGTACTTCTATACAAACAGACCCACCACCCCCCCCCCCACCCCCCTCCCCATGCGACACGATCACGAGGAAAGCGTATAGATGATAGAACGGCCCTTGTGAACAAAGTGTACTCAAAGAAAAGACTAGCTGAAAATAGTCTTGTAACTTAGGCATCTTAAGCCTTCCGAAACGCTTTGTTAAGTTTCTGGCAGGAATTCACTTTCTTGCCCTGGCACTACCTGTCCAGGATATGTATAAACTGAATCAACCCAAGAACATGTGTATGTACTAAACGTAGCATTTGAAATATAAAGAAAATAGGGATATGGTCCCCCCCCCCCCCCGCCTCTCTTTAGAACCGCTATGCCCACAGGTCTGATCACTCTATAAGGAAGGCGAAACAAATAACGATTTCATTTCTAGCTTGGTCGCTCCGCTCCCTCGCCGTTAAAGCCTCGTTCTGTTGCTTCATCGTTTTACATATATTTCACCCCATGCCATTTTGTGCCCCCCCCCCCCCCGTAAGAAATTCCTGGATCCGCCACTGATGCCCATACCCCTTGAGCTTCGGGGGGCTTCGCCCCTTGAACCCCACCGGGGCTTTTCCCCTAAACCCCACTTTGAGAAACGTAATTCAGCGGCCTGCATGTTAGAGTGGGGTGATTCAGATTTTTTTTTTGTCAGCCCCCCCCCCCAACGTTTTTGCTCATTACGCCACTGCCCCCCCACCCCCACCATAGAAACGATCTGCCCACATGTTTCATCACTCCATAAGAAAGGTGGAAATAAACAACGATTTCATTTCTAGTAATTCAACTCTAACAGCCCCCACCACTCACAATCGGACGCCAAAACGGGGAAAATGTAGATTATCAAAGTCCTTTATTGAGATTCTGTTCTCAAATCAAAGACTAACTGAAAATAGTCTATTAATTTAGGCATTTTAAGCCTTCTGAAACATGTTGTTTAGTTTTCTGGCAGGAATTTACTTTCTAGCACTGGCACTACCTGTCAAATATATGTTATAAATATATATGTATAATCTAATCAACACTGGAATATGCGTATAAACGGCAGCTGAAATATATAGAAACAAATCATCTAGGGTCGCTCCCCCCCCCCCCCTTTCCCCCCATAGAAACGATCTGTCCACATGTTTCATCACTCCATAAGAAGGGTGGACAAAATAACGATTTCATGTCTAGTAATTCAACTCTAACAGCCCCCACCTCCTCCCAATCCGACTCCAAAATGGGGAAAATGTAGATTATCAAAAGTCCTTTATTGAGATTCTGTTCTCAAATCAAAGACTAACTGAAATTAGTCTATTGATTTAGGCATCTTAAGCCTTCTGAAACATTTTGTTTAGTTTTCTGGCAGGAATCTACTTTCTTGCACTGTCACTATACCTGTCAAATTTATATTATATTATATATATAAATATATATATATAACATAATCAACACCAGAGTATATGTATACTAAAAGCAGCAGCTGAAATATATAGAAACAAATCATCCATACTGCAGGGTTTGCCCCCCCCCCCCCCACCACCATATATAGAAACGATCTGCCCACATGTTTCATCACTCCATAAGAAGGGTGGAAAAAATACGATTTCATTTCTAGTAATTCAACTTTAACATCCCCTACCCCCTCCCGACCCCAAAACAGGGGAAATGTGAATATTAAAATGCCCCTATTGAAATTTTGTTCTCAAATCAAAGACTAACTGAAATTAGTCTTTTGATTTAGGCATCTTAAGCCTTCTGAAACATTTTGTTTAGTTTTCTGGCAGGAATTTACTTTCTTGCACTGTCACTATACCTGTCAAATAAATAAATAAATAATATATATATATATATATAACCTAATCAACACCATCTACTAAAAGCAGCAGCTGAAATATATAGAAACAAATCATCCAGGGTTTGCCCCCCCCCCCCACCACCATATATAGAAACGATCTGCCCACATGTTTCATCACTCCATAAGAGGGTGGAACAAAATACGATTTCATTTCTAGTAATTCAACTCTAACATCCCCTACCCCCTCCCGACCCCAAAACAGGGGAAATGTGAATATTAAAATGCCCCTATTGAAATTTTGTTCTCAAATCAAAGACTAACTGAAATTAGTCTTTTGATTTAGGCATCTTAAGCCTTCTGAAACATTTTGTTTAGTTTTCTGGCAGGAATTTACTTTCTTGCACTGTCACTATACCTGTCAAAATAAAATAATATATATATATATATAACCTAATCAACACCATCTACTAAAAGCAGCAGCTGAAATATATATTTTAAAAAAAATTATCTAGGATTTACTCCCCCCCCCCCCCCCCCCCCACCATAGAAACGATCTGCCCACATGTTTCATCACTTCATTAGAAGGGTGGAAGAAATAACGATTTCATTTCTAGTAATTCAACTCTAACAGCCCCCACCCTCTCCCAATCCGACTCCAAAACGGGGAAAATGTAGATTATTTAAAAGTCCTTTATTGAGATTCTGTTCTCAAATCAAAGACTAACTGAAATTAGTCTTTTGATTTAGGTTTTGATTTAGGCATATTATGCCTTCTGAAAAATTTTGTTTAGTTTTCTGGCAGGAATTTACTTTCTTGCACTGGCATTATACATGTCAAATATATATATATATATATATATATATATATATATATATATATATATAACATAATCAGCACCAGAGTATATGTATAATATACTAAAAGCAGCAGCTTAAATATATAGAAACAAATCATCCAGGGTTTGCCCCCCCCCCCCCCACCATAGAAACGATCTGCCCACATGTTTCATCACTCCATAAGAATGGTGGAACAAATAACGATTTCATTTCTAGTAATTCAACTCTAACATCCCGTACCCCCTCCCGACCCCAAACAGGGGATATGTGAATATTAAAATGCCCCTATTGAGATTCTGTTCTCAAATCAAAGACTAACTAAAATTAGTCTTTTGATTTAGGCATCTTAAGCCTTCTGAAACATTTTGTTTAGTTTTCTGGCAGGAATCTACTTTCTTGCACTGTCACTATACCTATCAAATATATATTATATAACATAATCAACACCAGAGTAATATACTAAAAGCAGCAGCTGAAATATATAGAAACAAATCATCCAGGGTTTGCCCCCCCCCCCCCCACCACCATAGAAACGATCTGCCCACATGTTTCATCACTCCATGAGAAGGGCGGAACAAATAACGATATCATTTCTAGTAATTCAACTCTAACATCCCGTACCCCCTCCCGACCCCAAAACAGGGGAAATGTGAATATTAAAATGCCCCTATTGAGATTCTGTTCTCAAATCAAAGACTAACTGAAAATAGTCTTTTGATCTATAGGTATGCTTTCTGAAAAGGTGTGTTAGTTTTCGGACAGAAATTCACTTTCTAGCACCGGCAATACCTATTATAATATATATTGTTTGAATATAAATACATGATTTTATCATCACTAAAATCTTTGTAGGCCTATATACTAAAAACAGCAGCTGAAGTATATAGAAAAATTGGGCTAGGGTTTGCTCCGCCCCCCCCCCCCCACACCATAGAAACGATCTACCAACCTTTTTCATCACTACATAAGAAAGGTGGAACAAATAACGATTTCATTTCTAATAATTTAACTCTTATAGCCTCAAATCAGCTTTCAATTAACATAAGAAAAAGGGGGTCATAGGGGACCAACGGGCTATAGAGGATGTGGATAGGGGTCCCTCCACCCTCCCTCTTTTGAATCGCTTAGAACAAAGGGGTGGTCACTCTATTAGGAAGGTATACGAAATAACTGTTTAATATCCTGTCCTTAAATTCTTACAGCCCCCCCCCCCCCCCCCCCCCATGCAAGACGACACGTAAACGAGAAATGTGTAGATGACAAAACGTCCCTTATCGAGAACAGAACTATAACAAAATTATTAATTTTTGTTTTGTTTTCTAGCAGGAATTCACTTTCCAGCCCTGGCATATTACCTGACAAATATGAATAGATATATATATATATTTATGTATATATATAGTACTGAATACTGAAGATGGAGTTACTCTTTACTTTTTACACTTTTGGTACACCTGATCAGCTAAATGTCACAAATAGCGTCTGCGTATGTTTAGACTAGAGAATGTTGTTATCACCTGACTTGGTTACTCAGTACCGACCCGTGACGCACAACTTCATAAGCCGTGAAAAATCTCTAGTCTACGCTGTTTTAAGGTAAGATTTGTTTCTGTTTTTCCTTTGATTTACCAACAAGAAGCATAATTTTCGTTTTAATCATTAATTGGCCCTCGGAACTATGTGATTCTGCCCGCGGCCCGCAGTATGTAACTACATATATATACAGCCTCTAGCACTGGCTCTAGTACTAGTACTAGTAGTGAATACTAGCAGAGGCCAGATAGCCTGGTGCTCCGGCCGTGCCAGGGCGGCTAGGCCAGGCGTGGCGTAGCTTAGCTCACTAATCATGCTAATCTGCAAATACCAATCGAGTCGTTGTTTAGTTCGTACAGGATTCCCATCTTGACAACCTCTTTGTCTTGTAAAATAATGTTGTAGTACTAGTTTATGAATGGGAGTGCACCTAGCACTGCATGTAGCTCGAGCTCGACTGATTAATAGACCAAAAGCTTCACTAAGTTCAGAGTGTCCGAAGAGTGTGATATCGTTGTTGGTTGTTCTGCTATAAACAATATGGACTTTTGCATGTTGAAATAGTGGACTGCTACGTGTGACGTCCTTTTAAAAGTACCTTAAAAGGATGTTACACGGAGCAGTCCACTATGTCGACGTGCAAATCTAAAAGTCCCTAATAGTAATACTAATATGTCCACTGCACTGACTGCCTCTAATACTAGTAATAGTAGAGTCTATGAAGAGACTGACTGTAGTGACAGTGTGTTGTACGGGTAAGTGGATGTACTGTAGGCCTACATGTAGGTGCAATGCAGTTTGTGTATGATTGCCATTCACAAAGAAGACGAAAAATACATCGTCAACGAAACATAGTTAAATCTTTTGTCTACTCTGTTTGTTGCTACGGCAGGTCGCCATTGAAAACTAATTTGTTTTCAAAGTTTTTTAACAATATCATCAATATTTTTTTCCAAATTGTTTGTTTACAAAAGACCGATATAAAAATCAATATCTACTTTATAGACATGCTTTATCATTTCCATTAATTTTTCAAAGAAGGGCATGTTCATTTCACAGTTCAAAAAAGCATGGAATAAATCTTCTCTACAGTTACATGTTTCACATTAGATCTACATCAGAATTACTAAATTCCCATAAAATAACATTCTTTTTACAGGAATCAATTATAAATTGTCTTAAAATCAAATTGTTTCAATTTAGTTTCCTTTACATTCATCAAATTTCTTTGGAAGATCTTTTTCCACTTTAAATGATCAATTAAGTTTGTCCCTTGCTAGAATATGATAAAATACCCTACTTGACACAAATTCCATTCGTTTTTCCTTTTTACCAATTTGTATAGTGGGATTTTCTAACAAAATAGATTCTTTTAAGTTATCAGAATATCAGTGCAAACTTTTGGTATTGCATTTCTCAAATAAAAACAAAACAAAAACAGTGCTGTCACTTTTGCTTTTTATTTTTAATTTTCAATGGTTGTTATCAATTTTGTCATCGATATAAATATCTTTTACAAAGATTATGTTACTCACATGTAGGTACCACTCTCTATAGAAGATTGGCTGTTTTTCATGCGTAATAGGCCTATATTTATTATACCATAAATCTGATTATCCAAATGAATATAATCCTGTTTCACAATATCATTTATATATGACCAGGCTTTCATAATTTCTAAATAAAACCTTGGCAGTTTGCCGACAAAATATTTTTTCTATCATGTTTCGACAGTACAATTCAAAAGTAAATCGTTGAGACCTCCTAATGGTTGGAAATATAACATTGCAAAGTCTTTCCAATAACTTTCTGTGTCATCAACTATTCTTCCAAGCCTATTTCAACCTGAAACTATGTATTAACTTGTTAAAATCAATCATTCTTATTCCATCATCAGTATAATCTCTAACTATCATTTTTCTTTTCACTTTGTCAACTTTTGAATTCCTTCCAAAATTGTATTTAATCTTTTCTATTTTTTTTTACAATATAAATTTGGTACTGAGCAAAACATAATCAGATGAACTATTTGACTAATAAGCAATGTCTTAATTATGAGAACTCTTTCTATAATTGTAAGTTTTCTCTTCCGCCAATTGTCTACTATTCTCTGTATCTTTTCTAATTTCATTTCCCAACTTAATTTCACCACTAAATCTAGGTCTGTGTCTATATAAACTCCTAAGTATTTGATACAGCCATCTTTCCAAAGAAGGCCAAACGCTTGAAAGTTTCATTTATGCTGAGTAGGGCCCACCCATTTCAAAATTGTTTTATCTTTATTGAGCACTGGGCCAGCAATGCTTCCAAATCTGCCTAATTCTTCCAAAATATATTTCACAGATGATTCTTCTCTGAAAAATATAGAAGTGACTGTCATCTGCATATTGCACCTCTTTTAGTTATTATACTTTTTTTTTTAAATAAATACTAATATGAACAAGGATAACATAAATTCTAGTACCTGCACATGCATTTCTCCAGTATTTTCATAATGTTTCTCAAATGTATTTCCCACTAAAAATATTATGTGACATTGGGCTTATCAAGGTAATGATCAATTTAATATTTCAAGAACATTAATCTTGTAATGAAGCTTGTAAATAGTAAGTCACAAATGTGAATATTATTCAGATGATTTACATGTAAATTCCAAATTAGGACATATTATGAAGTTTTATACACTAACTCAAGGAACCTCAGTAGACCATCTACCGGTAATGTGAATGATGGATATATTGATACTCTTGAATTTTCATTCTCTAGCTTCCTCTGAAACATGGAGTCACAAATTATTCAATAAACAAGGTTATACTTTTATCCAATCCAAATGTATGTTTTGAAGGGGTGGTGGTGTTGCTACATGTATGTTAAATTCAGATTCACCTAACATTACTGTATAGAGATGGCATTAAACTCATTCAGATGATTTTGAATATCTTTTTATTGAAATCATCAATTATTGACCGGCGCGATTTTCCAATTTTCGGGAGCCAAAAAGAAGAAAAACAATTATTGCTCCTCTTCCCCCCCCCCCCCTCCACCCTTATTCACTGGCTGGCTTTTTCGCCGCTAAATATTCTCTCATGAATTGGGCCCCCTCTTTGGCCCCCTCCCCTGCTGCTGGCTGGATCCGCCCCTGGATACATTATAAATAAATGCATGAACAAACTAACGAATGATACATGTATACCTGTTATCAGTCATGAATTTCAATTTTGCTTTATCGCTTTTTTGAATTTGAAAAAGTTTGTTACCAAGATCATAGAGCAACATAATTCAGGGTTATTATCACTGATGCATATATATACACACTGTTGCTCGTACAATGTATCGCATCTTTGAGATGCTTTTAGCAAAAGTTTATTGGAAGATGTTAATATCATAATTTGCATACGTGACATGAATTTCTTTAGCTTTGTCAAAGTAATTTTCGATAGTTGGTGTAGCATGTAGACATATTGATCAATAAATTACACATCTGTACTGAAATATTATACGAATATGTACTTCTTGTGATCCTGTATTGTGTATGATATGTTAAATATTTGATATATTTTGATTATTCTCAAAACACATATTCATTTCCAGAGGAGCAGGCAGATACTTGGTCACTATTAAGGCAGAGGCGGCACAAGGTGACTGTCAAGATGAAGAAAGAACTGCATACATGTGTACTCCACTGACTGGGACAAGAGGCTTTGATTATCCTTTGACAACGTGGTAGATCAAGATGATCCAGTATACCACTAGCAGCCAATCTATGAGGTATGTAGTATGTACATGTATATGTAGATAGATTTTAATTACTAGGAAACGTTGGACTTTAGAAAAGATGAGGGTATTTCAGACTCCTGCCCCATCATCTTAACCATTTTATTTTTTATTGATGGTCTATTACCTGCTGCATGTACTCTAGCTCTTCAATGAATACCTACTTAAAAATGTATGCCTCCGGAACATAATGTACTAGTATGCTCATGACCATTTTTAATTTGTTTTAAACTTATACATGTTTACTTTGCAATGAGCTATTACATTTACCTGTTTTGTATTATTGTTTCTCAATAGTCTGAATACAGTTAGTCATAACAGGGGAATGAAATGATTTTTTAAGGAGGCAGTTAACAAAGACATATGATTTTATATAATTAGAGTGATGGGAGATGGCCATTATTTTACCATGCATCCTCTTTTTTAAAAAGCCTTTTTGATAGCTACATTATATTTTCTCAATTGGCATGTAATTTTTGAAAGCAAAGCAGATTCCATAAAGAGATAGCTATGTGTACTATCTTTGTTACTAAATTTTGTTTTTTTGTTAGATGAATAATCAATACTTTAATTAAATCAGTGCCCAAGTCTATTTATTCAAAAAAAAACTACAATCAACGTATTACTGTATGTTCAAAATCTAAAGATTTCTGTGACCCAGTTCATTTGCAAACTTTTAAAAAATTGGTTACTTGTTGGTAGTAAAATAGTATGCTATCAGTATTGTAAGAGATCCATTGTACACCTACTGTAATATGATATCCAAGATAAGTTTGGAATAAATTGTGCACATACTTAGCATAAGTCTTGCGCATAATTGCGAATTTGCAATTGATCGCAACTGAACTTTCTAGCAATGCCCTAATAGTAAGAGAGAGAGAGAGATAGAGGGAAGAATAAAAGCTAGATCTAGTTAATTTTATTTATTTCTTAAAACTTTAATCCTAACAAAATCCTAGGAAATTTAGGAGACTAGTGGGCGTGGCAACAAAGTTGAGTTGCAATCAATTGCAAATATCAGTTGCAAATTTCGCAACTGTCTTGAATCGCCCTATTATTCTATTACATTTTGTAGTAATATGTATTTTTTTTAAATATGGTAATGTAACATACTGAATATAAAACATCGTTTAGTGTTGCGAATTATTTTGTTCCTTGTTCATATTGTTGTCTTTTGATGTTATGCATTAACAGGTAAAGGGTTACTTAAGAAATAACCATAAAATGTCACTCATGTAGTAACCAATTCTTGTGCTTTTTCAGTTTATTCAAACTGCAGTGTAAATTTTGGACAGCCTTACAAAAATGTTTAATATACCTTTCCAAACATCTCTTTGTAAAAACAATTACAAGGAATATATAACATTTAAAAGTGAATTGCATAACCATAGCATGGTTTAGATGTATTCTGCTAGTTTGAAACATGTGTTGGAAACACCCTTCCTAGATAAAGATAATTGAAACAAAGAATGATTTTCACATTTTATCTGTTAGATATTTTATAGACATTTTAATGAATCCTACACAAAGAAACATAACTGTTGTCATTGTTCATACTGATCTTGAGACCAGAAATCAAATGAAAACTCTGTTCTTTTTTCTCAAACCAACAGATTCCATATGGGATCCCATCAAGTACAAGGTGATGCTGCTTGACACATGCACTGAGAGGGACCTGGCAGAGGCTAACGGCATGGCTCTTGGTTTTTCTGAAATGATGATGACCAAGTACACCTGTAGGAGGGTCTAGAGAAAGACAACCATGTGTAAACAAACATGAAATGAGAAGGTCTGCAGAAATTTAATTCAGAAGTTACAAGGGGAATTGAACCAAACGATGGAGTATCTAGCAGAACAGACACTTTCCTTGTGAAGAAGCCCACATTACAACAAAGATGCCGATTTACAGAAAAACGTCAAGTACCCTGCAAAAGAAATATGAACTCTAATAAATATTTTTTTCTTTCCTATCATAATGACATAGTTATATCAGGAGTGACAATTACCAGCGGGACAATCACCCCCTCAGAAAATTACCCCCAAGGACAATACCCCCCCCCCCCCCTGAGGACAATGACCCCCAAGGATACCCCAAAATAAAAGTTTTAAAATCTGTCTTTATAAAAACCAACTTCTTATCAGGGTGGATCCGGGTGGTTATTTTCCTGGGGGGTGGTTGTCTTGATACGGCTTGGCCAAAGCCAGTGGGTAATAATGAGGCACTTTGCTATATATTTAAGTGGATGTACTTAATATTGCATATCTTCTACTTCTCATTTTTTACTACAGTTTTTGGGGCAATTTTTGTAACTGCTACTGCAAACCAATTTCCCTCTTGTTGGAATCATGTGCTTGTTCTAATAAAGGGATCGTTTAACAATGTTAAATCTGAGATACACGGCCCTACGTGCTATCAGTGTCTGTGATATGGTGTTAAATTGAAGTCCTAAAAAAATTGCGCTTCAAAATGATCAAGAAGTGCCTCAAAGAATTAAAAATCTTTGAGTGATCGGTTTTACCATACTCTTTTCCCCCAATAGATTGTAGTGTTATGAAAACAGTTTAGCAAACGGTTTTCAAAATTTGTAATTCCAATCATAAATATCTTGATAATCAGACAGGCGATCGGCTTGTAAAAGTCCTGGGGTTCCTGACTGACCTAAAGGTCTATAATTATCATTGCAGCATGAGCTAAATCCAGAATTTTGTTTCAGAATCTGAGACAAAGTTACCGGATCCCTTTAAATATTGTATGGTATTGTAGCTACACAAAGTTTTAAGTATAACTTTAATGTTGTGTGTAAAACTAGTAAAAACTACAGATTTTACAAAAGCCAGTGCTATATAGAGTGCAGATGGATGCATAATATTCAGCTCATTTGAGTTAAAGCAATTAAGCTACATGTAGCAATTAGATGCATATCAGATGATGCATGATATAGCTATATATTAGATAGCATTTAAATGTTGTACATTAGCAATTTGACATGTAGTACATAGTATAGTAATTACATGTGCATCCTTAAAATTAGCAATTGGCAATGAAAGTTGCTAGTTGGAGATGTTGGCTCATGCTCATATTCAATTAACATTGTCCTAACAGGTGTGTCTTTTAAGGGTAGTATATTCATGTACATGCATGTGTGTGCATAACCTGATACACTTTAACCAAGTTTTTTTCTTCAACCATAAATATCCTAAAATCATATAGAGTGATTTTGAGGTATTTTCCCATTACATGCAAATCCAAATTCTGGGGAATGTGTTCAACTTTTTTAGTATTATCAACAACTTGGTAACTAAGGGAATCCTATCATTGACTCCTTCTAATCAATACTCTATGTGTAATATCTTTTGGCAATGCTAGCAAACCTATATTTCATTGTTCATTGCTGTTTACTTTCTTTTCGTTGTTTTGTGTAGATTTTCCCATTACCGGTAATTGAATGAACAAAATAAGCCTTAATAAAGCAATACAATTTCCAAATTTAACATTTTTTAGAGGACAATCACCCTCTTTGATTTTGGAAGCAACCTTATTTAATTCTTGATTTAATATATTTTTCTGCCACCTCTTTGTGATGCTTGTGTGTATATCATTGAGGATAGTATAGCAGTATAATGCAGTATAGTTTCAACCATATACCTTAACTAGCTGTGGTTTGAACATGATAGAAGTATACATGGTGTCATCCTTATGTTCTTATGTAGTGTTTTACAGGTTATGGTGTGCTTAAAAGGTTCTCTTTCATCAGTCTGAATACAATATCACTAATCATAGATATACAAAGTGTTAACAAATAACCTTGGGCATTGCAACATGAAACCATCTCATCGTATGTACATATACATGTAAATACATATGATTATATGGTTAACTTTCATATAATTATGCTATATCCAGTACATGTATTTGCTCATTTAGTTTCTCTCAGTTGAAGGATTGAGCATTCAACCATACTATTTCTGTTACATTTGCATGTACACAATAACCAAATAAGATCCCTTATACAAACATGAAGTATCTTATAGCTCATGCACAATTTGGTAAACCCTTGCCCAACCAGTTTTTTCGCTTTCTCTAATATTGCGTTGAGAGATAGCAAGATGATCACCATTGTACAAGTTCCTCGAAGTTATCCCCTCCAAAAGTTTAGTACTGTACTAAACATATGAGAGGTGACAATTATAAGTCCTTGGTCATCATCTAAATTCCTTGATGGTTTCCTTTTTTTCGGTAACCCACTAGTTAAAATCTAGGTAAGTTGTTTGTATTCAAATGTGATCAAGCGCCCACTTCATACTTATTATTTACTTTGCCTGGCCTTATTACCTGATGTGCTATGTTTCAGGTGATGCCCCATCCATACTTTGGGATAATACCTGACTGCAGTTATGCCTTTTAAAGTTTAAATGTGTAACAATGATTGCATGTAAAGTTTTAAAGATGTTTACAGTATAGCTTCTGTATTAGGCTATATATATATATATATATATATATATATATATATATATATATATATATATATATATATATATATATATGACCTGTGTATTATATTGTTAAATGTATTATTTTGATGAGAAATTCTATTTTTATTTTAGGATAATACTGCAATATATATATATCATTCAAAGTATGCAATCAGTTTATTATATGTAGGTTATGCTGAAATATAATAGCCTAATGAAGAAAGATTGCCATGTAGTTAATATGATTTCAGGAGCACGATGGTCAGTTTGCAGTGATTTGACATTTGCTCTAGGCTTTTTTTTAATGAAAAATTTTGGGTTAGGGTTCAGGTTTGATTTTTATTTAGTTAAAATTTAGGGTTAGAAATGGTATGGGTCCAGGGTTGAAGTTAGGATTTCAGTTAGTGTAGAAAACTATTGTTGAGCAATTTTGGTATGAGCATGTGTCATACAACCCAATTTGTTCTCAGATTTTGTAGGATATAATCATGGATTGCCCAAACAAAGTCTGTTTAATTTGTGCTTTATTTTATTGTTTAGACGTGTTTAGTTTGCACGTTTGTTTCCCTTACTGTGTGTATAAGTGAGTTTGAGGCACTGTATGTTGTAATGAGGGCTTTCAGTGATGTAGCATAGCAAGAGCGTGAGTTTGAGTGCACTGGAGCGAATTGGAGCGGGCGGTAGGGTGTCGTAGCATCTTCTTTTCACATTCCCTTCCCCTTTTTCCTCTGTTTATTCTTGTCCTTTTCTTTTTCTTTTCAATATTTGATCAAGTCTCTCTTCTACGCCGGAGAGGGGAGGTGGGGGGGGGGGGGGGGATGATGTGTGTTGGATATGTGTTAAGGGGGCAATACATATATCTTTGTCCAGGAGCGGATGCAGCCGCCGGAGAGGATGGGGGTCCAATTCGTGAGAAATTAGTGTGGGGGGGGGGGGCGTTAAATTATGGTTAAGGTAAAATTGTGGTTACACATTGTGTTTTTTCCTTTTTTTTTCAGGGGTGAGGGACGGTGCCGCCCCCCCCCCCCCCCTGGCTTCCACCCTGGATCCGCCACTGCATGTGTCAAATGTAAACTGAAAGCATATTTCATAAAAAGTTGCATTTAGTGTGAAATAGATTGGATAAAGAGGTCAATCTTCATCTATTATTGTTCGCCTATTGTTCCACTTTTGGAAAGCTGGATTTATTGGTCATCCAAAAAGAGCTGATTGGTTGAAAGTAAGCCTAGTTGTAACCCCGATTGTAACCACAACCCTTGTCCTTACCCTAACCCAAATCCTGGTCCTAACTCTAACTCTCACCCAACCCTAGTCCTAAATCTAACCCTAGTCCAAACCCTAACCCTAGCCCTAACCCTAGTCCTATAACCCCCTCCCTGGTCATAACCCTAATCATATTCCTAACCGTATTCCTACCCCTAACCCTATTCCTGACAACGACCCAATTCATAATTATGGATGGTTGATTATTCTGCAGTGATGTCCCAATAGTGGGTTTACGTGGTTTTCTAAATAAAACGCCCCTCCTCCTATACGTCCACTTCAAGCATATTAGTGGGTATGTCTGTTGTTCAAAGATTGGGGTTTGTTTGTTTGTTTATTTCATTTTAGTACGGTGACATACTTCATCCAATGGCTGTTCTTCGGCATGACCGTGCATATAAAAAGCAATCACAATTTTACAAAGAAACATACATTATATATTAACATGATTTACATACTGAGTTAAATAAAACATACACATAAATATACAAATAGGTTGGAAGGCGAGAAATCCAAACAAGCCCTAATTTAGAAAAAGAATACGAACAGATTATATTTAAAAAAATAGAAGAAAAACAAATCACTTGTTTTTGTTTGCTATTAAAAGTCAAACATGATTACAAATATTATAAACTGCTTATAGTGGTATGGTTACTTGTATAGGTTAAGTTCAAAGTTTGAACAGGGTTATGATTATTTTATTCATAATTTGGTTTATACCGTCTGGTTTAGGGTCGGGGCCTATGAATAAGCTATGGAATTGGTGGGGGTTAGAGCAAAATTGGCGATTCGTGGCTAAGTTTAGGGTGTTAGCGTATAAAAGTTATGTTATAAGAGTTATGGATAGGTTTGGGGTCAAAATTATAGATATAGGTTTATCTTTAGTTTCAATGAGATAGTTTTGGTAAAAGATTCATGAAAACATTTTGATATTGGCTAAAGAAAAGGTAACAAAGAAGACGACGACCAAATTCTAAAACAAGAATGAACAATGATGATTGAACAAATGGAAAATAATTACGTTGAATTATTTGCAGATTTGACACCATGCACCACATATAGGCATGAAACAATCTTTCAAATGAATTAATTTTCAAATGAATTAAATAGACAAGTTTTAATCCTCTCCTGTTCATGGCGACAAAAAGAAAAAATGGAAAAGTACAAATTACGGCAGCCATGCAGGTGTATGAATGAAATCATAAATACGCATGCAGTTTTAGATAAAGATAGATTGCTATTACTCATTATTAATAATGATGTGCGACAATTTCCTAAATATCTATCTGCAAAACTAAATTATCTCACCTACTGTCAATTAAAAAGGCA